TTGATATGTCTGGAACGGAGGAGGACGCAACTCTGAGCGCGAGGTTGGATGAGGCGCTACGAGCTATAGAGGAGGCCAAGGCTGAGACGAAGGAGGCCAAAGCTGAGACGGAGGAGCTTAGGGCAGCACAGCGGCGGTCTGCGGGTGCACCTGCCGGCAGCAGCTCAGGAGGCGACGGTCTAGTTGCTCCTGGAGGGGCTTCATCTGCACCGGTGAGGCCAATGTGGCCAGGCGGGGTGAGTCATGATGGCGGTACTGGGGTGCCGGGCTTGCCTCTGGGAGGTACAATTGTCAGAACTCCTGTGCCTAGAATCCCGCCTAATTGCACCGCCGACACTTTTCTCAGTTGGCGGAGACGCTTTCTGGCCTACGTGGACAACCACAATCTCCAGCACACAATCTTCGGCAGTGCTGAGGTTCCCGTTGTCAGTTGTCAGGATGAAGGATACTTGACACGCCAGTATGGTGCACAGCTGGTTGTTGAGCACAAGAGGACATGGAGTTTTATCTTGGAGGCAGCGGTGGGGGCCCCATTTGAGAACAACCTGTACTCTTGCCATTCCGTGGCAGAGGCGTGGAGGATGATGGAGGATTGGTTTTTGCCTATCCACCCAGCTGGTTGTCAGCTTCTCGTCGCCGAGCTAGACAATAGTGCGCACTTTTGTGCGACTCGCGAGAAGAACAGCTTGGGGTCCTAGGTCCTCATCGTCATTCATGGTAACATTGTCTAGCTCGGCGACGAGAAGTTGACAACCAGCTGGGTGGTTAGGCAAAAACCAATCCTCCATCATCCTCCACGCTTCTGCCACGGAATGGCAAGGTTGGNAGAGTACAGGTTGTTCTCAAATGGGGCCCCCACCGCTGCCTCCAAGATAAAACTCCATGTCCTCTTGTGCTCAACAACCAGCTGTGCACCATACTGGCGTGTCAAGTATCCTTCATCCTGACAACTGACAACGGGAACCTCAGCACTGCCGAAGATTGTGTGCTGGAGATTGTGGTTGTCCACGTAGGCCAGAAAGCGTCTCCGCCAACTGAGAAAGGTGTCGGCGGTGCAAATTGTCGGGATTCTAGGCACAGGAGTTCTGACAATTGTACCTTCCAAAGGCAAACCCGGCACCCCAGTACCGCCATCATGACTCACCCATCCGGAGGGCCCGCGGTGGCAGCCGGAGCGGCGGCATCAACGGCAGCTCCAACAGCGACGGCGGCGACCTCCGGTGGCAGTGTTCCCCCCGCGGCGGCGGCGGGGGGAATGGCCGGAGGCCCCGCGGTGGCGGCCGGAGCGGCAGCATCGGCGGCAGCTCCAGCGGCGACGGCGGCGACCTCCGGTGGCAGTGTTCCCCCCGCGGCGGCGGCGGGGTGGATGGACGGAGGCCCCGCGGTGGCGGCCGGAGCGGCGGCATCGGAGGCAGCTCCAGCGGCGACGGCGGCGACCTCTGGCGGCAGTGTTCCCCCCGCGGCGGCGGCGGGGTGGATGGACGGAGGCCCCGCGGTGGCGGCCGGAGCGGCGGCATCGGAGGCAGCTCCAGCGGCGACGGCGGCGACCTCTGGCGGCAGTGTTCCCCCCGCGGCGGCGGCGGGGGGGATGGCCGGGGTCCTCGCGGTGGCGGCAGGCGCGGTAGCATCGGCGGAAACTCCGGCGGCGACGGAGCAGCGGCAGCATGAGCATGACGGAGCCGGAGAGCATGGTGGAGAGCGAAGCAGCGCGCAGCGCGGTGTTGGCGGAACTTGCGCGGATGGCGGGGGGGCCTTCGCGGGTGAGCACACCTGCGTCACCTGTTGCCACACCTGCCCCCGCGCACTCGGCGGCGGCGCCGCTGGCATCGGACGGGCTGTGGACGGAGATGGTGCATGAGGGCGGTACAGGCTGGCGTCGGCAAGGGAAGCGGGAGTTCGTAGCGACCCCCGCAGTGACAAGGTCGCGGGCGAAGCGAGATGGGTCAGGGCCGGGGATATTTGCTCTTTTAGCCACGGAGGACGAGATCAAGCGGTCCATCGCCGAGCTTCCTGCACCCGGCGTGACTGAGCCAGCCCTGCCGACGGGGCTGGTGTGCGACCTGGAGACTCCTGAGACATACGGGGAGGCGCACGCGGGCCACACCACCACATCTGGACCAACGCCGAACGCAAGGGGTTTTTCGGGCTGAATGCAGTGGCCACCTTCGAGGAGGTCGGGGCGGAATAGCAACGAGGGACGAACTTCATCTCCGCCAAGTCGGTGTATTCATGAAAGGGAGACGAGTTTGGGTATGCTGTGCGTGCTAAGGCTAGGTTGGTAGCCCGTGGGTTTGCGCAGCGTGAGGGTGTTGACTTCTTTGAGACTTTCTCCCCGTGTCCTTCCATCACGAGCATTCGATTGCTAGCCGCCATTGCCTGTGTGTTAGATTGGGACTTGTGCCATTTCGATGCCGAGCAAGCCTTTGTCCAATCAGAACAGGATGAGGTTGTGTTCATTCGTCTTCCCCCTGTATGCGGTGTGCTTTCCGGTAAGGTCGTACGGTTGAGATGGAGTCTTCACGGTCTGAAGCAGGCGTCCCGCACATGGCATCATCACTTGATGCGTGGCATGAAGATTCTTGGTTTCGAGCCTTGTGCCGCCGATGCGTATGTGATGCGTCTGATCGAGAGCGGTGTATTCACCATGGTGGTTGTGATCCACGTAGACGGCATATTTTCTATCGGGCTCGAGCAGGTGCGATCAGTTTGGTGTTGACCTCAACCGGTATGTGCCCATTTCCAACCTTGGGGAATTGCGCTGGTATGCGGGTTGCCGGTTTTCTCGTGACACGGTGTTGGGGACGGTGACTATTTCGCAGCAGGCTGTAGCGGAGAAGATCGTTGCCAAGTTCGGTGTGACGACGGACAAACAGACATCTACGGTCGTTGAGTTGAAGCTTGAGCAGTACGATGCCGACGAGCCCGATGTCGACGAGCCTTTCCGGTCGCTGGTGGGACACTTGATGTGACTGGCGAATCAGACTCGCCCGGATATTCCCGACGCGGTACGTGTCGTTGCGAGGTATTCGCATGCGCCGAAGCGACTGCACTGGCAGGCGGCTTTGCATGTTTGATGTACGTTAGATTCACGAACGGGTACGGGATTACTTTTCAAAAGCGCACAGTGGGAGGAGACCACATGAAACTTTTTGTCGATTCAGACTTCGCCAACAAGGCAACCGACCGGCGGTTTGTTACCTGGGGCACTAGTGATGTTCGCTGGTGCGTGTGTGATGTATCTGTGTAGGACGCAGAAGAGCGTCACCCTGTCTTCGATGGNCGATGAAAGTGGAGTACGTGGCGATGTCTGATGGGATGAAGGAGGCTTATTTTTCTGCGGTATCTGTGGAAACTTACCTTTCCGGGCCGTGATGTGGGGTGCACTCCGGTGTGGGAGGACAACGTAGGCGCTTTTCTCTTGGCAAGAAACCCGGCTACTTAATNGATGTATCTGTGTAGGACGCAGAAGAGCGTCACCCTGTCTTCGATGGAAGTGGAGTACGTGGCGATGTCTGATGGGATGAAGGAGGCTTATTTTTCTGCGGTATCTGTGGAAACTTACCTTTCCGGGCCGTGATGTGGGGTGCACTCCGGTGTGGGAGGACAACGTAGGCGCTTTTCTCTTGGCAAGAAACCCGGCTACTTAATCCAACTCGAAGCACATCGACATCCGCCACCATTTCATCCGTGAGCGTGTGGCGCGGGGGGAATTCAAGGTAGTCCACGTACGGTCGGACCTGCAACGCGCGGATTCAAACCGCTGCCCAAGGAAACTTTCTGCGCGCATCAGTGATGAATAGTCGTTGATTTTGTTCTTTGTGTTGCACTTTTTCAGCGGGGGGGCCTTTCTTGCATCATGTGTTAAATTTGTGACCTGGAACTGGCCTTTGATCTGCTGTTCGATGTCGCGATGGGTGGGATAGTTCTGCGTGAGAATCATGGGGGGGGAAGTATTGTTCTATGATCCTAGTCGCAGGTGGTTTGTTTGTTTTGGTTTCGATTTCTCGGGATGAATGATGCAGCAGGGGGGCTGTTGGATTGATTGATTGTATTGATTTTGACTTCTTCAGGATGGAATGGATGTTACAGCAGGGGGGCTGCTGGACTGGTTTCTTTGTCAAGGTATTGGATATCGGAGGAAGGGTTTGGCATGTTGTCGTTATTTGAACTGGTTATTGAGTTGAAACATGAATATTTATCTGAGGAATGAATTTGTTCTGAGTTGTCAGGACGTCAGACACGTTTTCCCGGAGTTACCCGTCCTCCCCGTTCTGACGTGATTCTGATGTAATGTTGATCTTTTTGCTGGGTATTTTTCCAAGGGTGATTGTTCGTGTTTTGACTGCTTGAGAATTTTGTAGAGCATTTTTTTCAAGAGGGTGATTTGTTTTTCTTGACGAACCTTTTAGGGGTAAAATTTGACACCAAAAAGGTTTGAAAGCTTTGCAGGACGTGTTCTGTTGGAAGATCCGGCGATTTCGTGGGACATGTGCTATTGGCAGAGTCGTTGGATTGGAATGGTGGATGATATATTGTTGGCATAGGGGTTTTGATTTTTCTGTCTGCCGTTTTATCTGGCATGATAGTCGTGACGGGGATTTCGTAGATCGTATCTCGTACCGAGCAGAGGGGCTGTTTGGGGTGCTCGGCGGAGTATACTGTCAACGGGGCCTCCGGGGGTTACGCGGATGGTATGTATTGATGGACATGCTACATGGCGATGGTGTTGCCTGCCGCATGTCTCTCACTCTCTAAGCAACAAGGTCTTGAGTCAACCTTATTTATCTTTCGGCCTCTGACGACCTACCGCACCCAAACAGAAAACATAGTAATGGTTTCCCCATAATCTGTATGCTGTCAAGCCGGTACAACATATTATCACCAGAGTCTTCCTTCGCTGATCTTCCGTGCTCAATATCTTTCCAGAAAAATGAGAACACTTGCTTGACGAGCAATCCAGATTGAAACATTCCAGCAGGAGAGGGTGAGATGCATGTTGCACATACACCTGGTGCGTTAGGCGCTACCACCACTCCTTAGCCTTCCTGAATGCCAAAATCCCTCGCGTGTCAGACTCTCGACCCGTTCCTCCCGTCCGTGCCGTTCATTGTCGGTGACACCCACGAACAACAAAATCGCAGATTTGATCAGGTTTTGTCCTGGTGATTCGGAGCAAAGCTTCTACGGCTGAGGGGGGATCCGAGACCCTCCCCCTCTGTTCTCCCCACCGACTCCACTGAAAGACGTGGGAACCCAGCATCAAACAATTGTGGTGAGGTTTCCGCGAAATTTGTGGGATTCCCAATAGCAAGTGGGTGGAGAGAGGAGGACGCGCAGGCCTCATTGCTCTCCCCCCATCATCTCCTTTTTTACACTCGGGTTTTTTTGTCGCAGTGAATTCGAAAAGTCAGGCTAGTGTCACTCACGGTAGAGAACGAAAGCGCTTAGGTTTGATCCCCTGGAGGATCAGCCAGAAGAGCATGCTGGCGGCTTCTGTTTGTCCATCTGCACGCCGATTGTTTGTGACGTTTGCCTGTAGTGAGGGCAGGGGGGGGGGGGGCGAACTTTCTTTCTTGGTATAAATTTGGTGCCGTTTGTTCACTCATCATGTGGTTGGAGTCGTGGAACAATTTAGCTACAGTAGTACGTCTGTTTCTTGTACACATCCTGAGGGCTGTTCCACGTCTAAACGATTTGCTGATTATTGTCATGTTGAGGAAGTAGACTATTTGGTCCGAGCGTGCTCAACTTAGACCCGTTTGTCACCGGAAGGTCTGTACTCTCCTGTGCAACAGTAGAGAGAGAGAATGCATCAGAATATGCCCGGAGGTTGTTGTCTGGGTAGTAGCTATTTGTTGCTTCGTCTTGTCTTATTCTTGTCTTCGTTTCATGGAGGAAGTTACTTGCAGTCTTAGTGTTTCGCGATGACACTTCTTGTCGGGCACCACGGCAAGCCAGTTCATCGGTTTCTAGCCTGCTCAGAGGTGGAGGGGAATCGTCGATGTTGTTGGGTTTCTACTGCTGTGAGCGATCGTGTCTGGCTTTCAGTATGTACGTATAGCACTCTATTTTTCTTGTCCTCAGCTATCGTCTTGTCAATCTTGGAGTCATCTGTATTCATTAATGGGGTATCTTCCTTTTCACCACCACACATTGTGATTGTCGTTGGGCGCAGGCGTGCGCCATGTATGTCTGGCTTTCAGTATGTATAGCACTCTTATGTTTCTTGTCCTTGGCTACTTGTCGTCAACCTTGGAGTCATCTGTATTCATTAATGGGGTATTTTCCTTTTCACCACCACACAGTGTAGTTGTCTTTGGGCGCAGGTTTGCGCCATGTATGTCGGTGGTTCGAGCAACACCATCATGGGGGTAGCGTCGATGCACGCATGCATGTTTAGCATCATATGTAACTGTTTTTGAAAGTTGTTCGTTGTATAGCTCGGGCTTTTGAAAGCGTTTTCCCGCTACCGCGAATAAGTTGCAAAAAAACGCGCGTGCGCTGCAATCATGCTTGCTTCTGTTTTTCCGGCTGTCTCGTTTTGAAGAGGTATATATATCGTATTATCAACGTTGTTGTGGAGGTGACCTTTAAGAAGGGGCCCATCTCCGTAAACCAACGTTTGTCGAGGATGACTCCCGCTAGGAACAATCACAGAGAGGGCTTACGGGAGAGGGGGGGAGGGGCGCAACAATGCGGAGGCGGCGTGTACAAAGGGTCATCTCCCCGACGTCTGCAGAGGCCGATTCCATCCTTTCACCATGAGGTTTCGGCGTTAATTCTGCATCGAGTGGCGGGTAGCGAAACGCCGGCGAACAGATGAATGAAAGATGCGTTCTGTACCTGTAGAATCAAGTGCTAAGTTTGTCGTTGTGGTGGGGCTCATGCGTGCTTGCTTTGACATGAAAGAGTACAAGAGAAGATTGTTGATGCTGTCGTTTGACTTTGACTACCATCGACGCATCACGCCAGGGCAGGGCGAAAGGAGGGGGCGGAGGAGGGGGGGTGAAGAGGTAACGATTCCCACGATCCAGTGCCAGCGTTGTATCACCGCCCAGTCGCCGGGCCACGTCGTATCTTCACGTCAGGTCGGATCGAGAGCCTGCATGCGGCGCAAAAACACTTAAAATCACTTATCACCAAGGAACAACTGTGCTTATCGACACCGTTTGATTGTCAAGGGTTTTCGTCCATGGTCGTTTTACACATACCACTATGAGGTACGTCTGTGTTTTGGACACACCGCTCTGGACCACGGCGTATACCGCCCTACAACAAAGGCGCATCCCCATGCTGTCCCGCTCACCAGCAGTTTCGTGGTAAAAAACGATCGGTTGCAGCGTTTGGTGCATGCCAGGAGCGCGTCGCCGTACATGTATACTGCTCTTGCCTCTCGTTGTTCGATAGCGGGTTGTGTTCCATGTGCACACGAACCTCTGACACTATAAAGCGTTCCGAAGGCTTATGGTCGGGCAGGGGGGGGGGGGGGGAGAGCCCAGAGGCACACAGACAAGGGGAGTCTTCTTTCCGAACCCCGCTCCTAGTCCTACTTCAGCAAAAATTGATAACATGGTGCAGCATCAACCCTCTATCCCGACATCCTGCGCATGGCGGCGTTTGGTTGACACCGTCTTAACGCGCCAGCCTAGGTGGCGAATAGTTGCACCAAGCACATCTTATCCCATCTGCAGCACACACCCGAAAAACTGTTTTCTTTCTCGTCCTTTATCGCGGCCGGCGGTCACAACACGACCTACCGCGGGAGCCTCTTAACACAAGGTAAGAAAACACCTCGCGGGGGCGCTAATTTCGCCGAAAAACGGTAAAAAAAATTACATATGGCGCAACGGGGCGGTTAGCTCCCAGGCCTAAGTCAACAAGCAAAATAACACGGTTTTGCGAGGAAAACCGGACAAAACGAAAAGCAGCGTGCGTCTTCGCAATAAACGCCACAAGAGGGCCTCGTGGCCTCGGGGAGAGAAGAAGGTGACGATACATACGTCTGGTGCCCTCCCCCCCCTCCCCCCCGCATCACCACCGTGGTGATCTTGGCACGAACGACGATACAGTATCCCTACGACCAATCTAATCTCACAGGAGCGAGAAAAAAGGGTGTCACGATAAATGGGTCTGCTCCTAACAAGTAACCCTAAGTCACCACCGAAAAATTACCAGGGCCTCAAGACAAGATTCCACGGTACAGTATCAAGAAAGACTCTTTTCAAGGCATGAACATGAAAGTATCAAGAACACTCGACATGGCAGTTTCAAGAAGACTTTTTTCAAGGCATGGACATGACAGTATCAAGAAGACTCGACATGGCAGTATCAAGAAAGCCTTGAGATGGTAACAAAAATATTTCAAGAAATGGACATGAAAATATCAAGAAGACTCGACATGACGGCAGTATCAAGAAAGGCTCTTTCAAGACATGGACATGGCAGCAGTATCAAGAAAGGCTCTTTCAAGACATGGACATGACGCCCTTGCCGAAGTACGAGGCAACCTGGTCGAAGCCGTCGGCCGCCTCCTCAAGCCCCTTAAAAAATTGCTCGTGGTCCAAGGCACTTCTCGCCTGTGCCGCCTTGATGTCGTGGATCTTCGCCTGCTCCCCGCCTAGTCCGCCCAACCCAGACGATGAAAACGTCTACCGAACGAACCCAAAATCGTGGGGGGGGGGGGGGGGGG